GGGTGGATGTGTCAACATAATGGTACATCTGTCACCGTCAGGAACTGGACACCTTTGCTCTATGTCTAGAACTCCTCCCCAACAACAACTTAATAATAAAATGCTTAATGAAATGTGCCCAGTGGGAGCCTGCAGGTGGGAATGACTCTTCTGTCTGCATCCCATACCCCAGGAGCTCCTGAGAGCCTTCCAAAGGTAGCCAGAAAGTGTATGTTGACCTGCTCTGTTCAGTCATAAATCTGGTTTATTAGAAATTGACTGGTCTGTTTGTCAGCTCAATTGTAAGTAGCCTATCCCGATCACTTATCCTTGAAGGTTAGGACCTGTTTTAATTAACCCTTATCTAAAAAGCCTCTGTAACAAAATAGACAATATTTTGTGAATAGACATTCATTCTTTTGACACAAGGTTAATCTAGCAGATATGTTTATTCTAGTGTTCTGAATTATGTTTTACAGTCAAAATAGCTTCTATTTGGAGATGTTTAGTGTAGCAAGAAGCAACTTCAGTGGTGTGACAGGATGGAAAAGAAGAGAAAGATTAAAATTAGTCTGTTTCTCTTGTAATTTTGCTCTTTAAATTTTTGAAGAAATGTAGTTTGTTAGTTTGAAGGTACTAGTCACAATTCCTCAGAGACCAAACCAATTGTTTTGGTTCTGAATGTAAAATCATTCTGAAAATAAGACTAACCTAGGATCATGAGAGCAGCTTTTAATTAGCCAGTAACTGACCTGCCCTGAATGAGTAATTAATTATGCTGGACAAGAAGAGACTCTTGAATTAATTTATTAACTACCTGGGGTAGGGTGTTTTGGTTTTACTTTTTTAAACTGCTTCTGGCTACTTGACATTTCCTAGACCAGATGATGGTATAGTATGATCATCTGTTACTGATTCTACTAAATGCCATGTCAGAATAATTACCTTGCCATTCTTTTATCTGTGTAGAAAGGTTCACTTTGTTCCCAGGTGTTCATTCATCCATCCATTGCTAAGTCATCTATTCTGCTTTCCCTGTACCCCAGCCCACTTGCATTCTCCTGCAGATTTGTCTTCCTAATAGTCTCTAACTGATGAGTTCTATATCTAGAATTTAGCAAAAATTAATCTGCTGTTATTAGGGGAGGAGGAGAAGGGAACAAATATTTGTATGTCTACAGTGTAAATATCTACAATGTGCCAGGAACTGTAGTAAGCACTTTTTATAGATATCATCTCATTTGATTTTCACAACAACCCTTTGAGGTAGGTGCTGTTATTAGCCCCATTTTGTAGTTAAAGAAACTGAGGCAAACAGAGGTTAAATGACTTGCCCAGAGTCACACACAGAGTATCTGAGTCTGGATTTGAACTCAATCTTCCTGACTCCAGGTGCAGCACTCAGTCTCAATCCGTTGCACCACTTAACTGCCCCTCTCAAGTATTAAATAAGTTAATTGTTCTGGCTACTAGTCAGTGTCTGTAGTAACTTAAATATTTAAACTAAAGTATGTATCCTTCATTTCATTCAGTTTTATGGGAGTTGTTAGGGGCAGGAGATTTAGCAAAGGAGAGTGCCGTCCTGTTGAAATAGCTTTCTGAAGACTTTATGCATGTGAAACAAAGGTGGATACTATTATTCACAGTTTGGGGAAGAGGTTGGATGTTTTGGTAGAATGAGATAACGACTTCTTAATTCAAAGGTTTTTTTAAAGTATGCAATATTCATCTGTAGTGAGGCTAATGGCTTTGTATGACATTAGAGTATGTATGTAACCATTTATTTTAGCCACTAATCTACAGGATTGTTCTCTTTGACTGTCAGACAAAGACCTTTTATAAAAACTTTTAAAAGATGGTTCCTGGAGAATGTAGTGGCTTCGCAGCTCTCCCTGTTTTAGCCAGTGTGTAATAGTTTCTGGCAGGGATCAGAGAGCATACCCATTCCATTGTGCTGTCAGAAGCAAATAGTGCAACCAGTTGTGGTATTTAGAATTGTGTTGTTCCCTTGGTGCCAGCCCCTTTGGCAACTATAGCAAATCCAGCTAACAACATTGATTTGTGAGCCTCTTATTACTGATTTAACTGAAATCTGTTTTACTCATTTTCCCATTCTCCAAAGGAAGGAATAGTTCTTCATAAAGCATTATTTCCTGAATTTAGTATATTGTAGGCAACACTTATGTCTTACGTTTCTTGTGGCAGCAGTGGGTGAGATATATACTTCTCAGAATAACTCTTCTGTGGCTGTGTCCTCTGATTACATCCAAGATAGTTTGGGCTTTGGTCATCCATCAGTAATGATTTTAAATTTCTTTTGAATATGTTGTGTTGATTTCTAATTCAGAAATACACCTAAGCACAACTTGGTTACATTTTGTTCTTAGGGTTATAGGTCTCAAGAAGATCATTTTCTCAAAGGAACCAGGTCTTCTGCCTTGGAACAGGAAGTAGTCCGCCCAGCTCTGTTCTAATAGAGCAAAGAGTCTTAAACAAGGGTTCATGAACTTTTTTAAAAAATTATTTTGACAGCTATATTTCAATAAACTTTTCTTTGCAGTCCTAAGCATTTTTATTTAAAAATACTGTTTTGAGACGAGCTCTCACTAGATCTTCACCAGACTGCCAAAGGGATCCATAATATAACAAAAGGTGAACTTCTGCTCTAGGGGCATAAAGGAAATAAATAGGGGCAGCTAGGTGATGTAGTGGATAGAGCACTGGCCCTAGAGTCGGGAGGACCTGAGTTCAAATCCAGCCTCAGATACTTGACACTAGCTTCGTGACTCTGGGCGAGTCACTTAACCCCAATTGCCTCACCAAAAAAAAAAAAAAAGCCGAACAAACAAACAAAAAAAACTTCTGCTGTAGAATCTCCTTCCTGGAAAGTTCCTTTCTGGCACATGATTAGGTACCAACTTCTGTGTCACTGCTGCTGTCATTAACTCTCCATGGGCAGCTTGTGGTTGTAAGGGCAAGTAGGCTAAGTCTTGCCAGGTAGTAGTGTAAAGTGTAAAGTCTTGCAGGCATTTGAGGAAGCAGTCTACTAGCATTCCTACTGTTATATGGTCTGTTGCTGTGGGGAGAATGAGCCAGACATTCCCATGGGACTTTTAAGGATTTTCAGGCCATTTGAGATTTTAATTTTTTAAATGGAGGGACAAATCAGCTACCAACATAAATACTTTCCATGGAGCTCAAAGGAAAGTAGAAATTCATGTATAAATACGGATTGTCTGAAATTCTTATATTCCTAAGGGAATCCACAGAATATAGTAATAATACTGTGTAGCCATGTAGTGCTTTATACTGTAGAAGTCCTTTTGCAAATGTTATTTCATTTTATCCTCAAAACATTCTGTGGAAATGTGCAGGTATTATGCCTGTTTGACAGATGAGAAAAAGACATAGACAGGTTATGACTTGGCAAAGGTCATTCATGAATCTGTGGTTGACGCAGGATGACAGCTCTCCTGACTTGTAATTATAGTTCTGCCATCCTAGACATACTATTTATTATGTGTTCTTTGATGTCAGATACCAAGGTAAGTTGTGTTAAAAAAAAAGTAGTCTTACACTTTTAATTGTGATGTGGATATATATACCTCTTTCTTCCCCCAAAGACTCCAGAAACACTCCAAAGAGTTTTGTGGCTGAGAAGGAGGTAACACAGGATGATTAAAGCAACTTGCCATGGGTTAAGGCAGATTAACAACATGAACATTTTCCAGTTTTGCTTGATTTCGATAGTTCTAAAGTAACTCTTTTTTGAATATTAGTTAAATTAGAATATTGGTTAAAATTTTACTATTTTCTCCTGTGTTTAAATTGGCAGGGGTCATAATAAATTAATCAAACACTGTGGGCTTAAAAACCTTTCTCTTATAACACATTAGAAAGACTGAAGATTAAAATTATGTCCAAGGACTGATCTTTTTTCCTCATTTAATAAGAATGTTTCATTTATTTCTAAGTGACAGCAAAACCACTTAGCTCCATTTTGTTTACTTTTGAACTTTGAATGTTATCCAAGCTGCCCAGATTCTGACTGTACTTGCTAACAACTAGAATGAAGTTTTGTTTTTTATGAATACTGAGCTGTTTTGGGGGATGAGGGGGAAACACTTTACCATCATATTTATAGTGCCCAATCAAATCCTAGTAAAAGTTTTAAAATAATTTTTTTTAAATGGGGCTTTTAAGGGATTATTCATGGATGGCAGGGATAGGTTCAACCACGTTGACATATTTTACAAATACCTGACAGTTTTATTCCTTGTTTAGTTGACAATATCTGTATTCTGAATTCATGCTCAGTTATGGCTGTTGTTACTATGTGAAGCCTACTAGAAAATGTAAAGTCTATCATTGTTCTCCACCAAAAAACTGGTTCCCTAAATTACCTTCATTTCTTTAAAACCCTTTCCAAAGATTTGGTCATGTTCCAGCAGGAATATCTGTGTTTTTGCTGCCATTTCATCTCCTGGGGGCCCGTTATATTCACTCCATATATTCACATTTACTACTCTGGTATCAATCTGGTATTAATCAATAATTATTAGGTAAGCACAGTGAGGGATGCAGAAAAATATGAAATAGCCTTTCCTCTCTAAGAATGTATGGTTGGAAAACTAAAGCTAATATACTTGATGAATAATGAACTGTATGTGATAGTGCTAGATTATAAGTCAAAGGCCATAGAATTCAGAGGAAAAGAGAGATCAGTGAAGGCCAGAGTACAGGATCTTAGAATATAAGACTGCAGGGGAAACTTAAATACTATCTGCTATTCCCTGGGTATCCAGCTATGGACTATTGACCCCAGGTTGCAGTCCTCCAAAAGTCTTACCTAATAAGCTAGCATAGATGTGCTTGTATTACCTGCTTCCGCAACACCATTGTGTAATCAACTGCTAACAGCTTTGGATCAGTTAGTATTTGTAATTCTTAAAAAGTTCACATGTACCAAACACTGATAACTAGTACACTATTAGATCTGATCCAGTCTCCTCATATTATAGATCAGGAAATCGAGGCCTACAGTAGTCAGAGAAGATTTAATAGAAAAGGAATTGAAGAAGGATATAAGAGGGGAACTTCAAAAGGAGAGGTAGGAATGAGTATGTGAAACAGTGAGAAGGCAACCCCAGATTAGAATAACAGTATGTCTGTAAAGAAGTATAGTAGGAAATACGTGTATGTAGGTAGAGTGGGGGGCCAATTAGGAGGGTTGTGGCCACTAAGTAGAAAAGTGAAGGTTTTATGGGAAAAGAAATGGAAAACCATTGACTACTTTTGAGCTGAGGAATGATTTGAAAGCAAGGTATGATAAGACTTGGAGGTTTTTTGTTTTGTTTTATTTTTTCCTTCGTTGTCTTCATACCCAGCAACAGCATAGTGGGTGAAGTAATTGTATTCTATGGAAAGGAGTAGTATTTAGAGAATACTGCACAAAGTTGAATGGAAGTTCAAGTAGGATTGTGGGACTTGGGGGAGGGTGGAGGGGAGTGTTCATAAGTCTCAGTCTGTTCCTTACCAGAAATCCTTATTTGAATTCAGACTTCTTCCTTGCACCAATGTCAGTTTGTTTATATCACCAGGAACTTGGATCTCCATCGGCCAACAGACCTTCAGACTAGATCCTCTCCATTGGGTTTCCACCCCAGCGGGACTCGACAGGTGTTTGGATCCAGTTCTTACTCCCATTCTAGTGTTCTCCCCTGCCCTATGGGTAGAGAAAAGGCCACCAGGGAGCTCTGCCATTATCCCACCTGGAGTCCAGCACACTTCACTGTTGGAGAACCGTTTTGTTTTTGGTTTTGGTTGTTGTTTTTTGTTTTTGCATTGTTCCAAACAGTTTGAAGAGTGCACTTTCTAAACTTTTTACTTGGAGGGGTGTGTCTAACCCAGCTGGAAGCTTCCTGGTCTTCTTGTAGACCTTTAAACAACTTGTTCTCATTCAAGTTAGTGTTTGAGTTTTATTCTTCAGAGTGCTTTTCTTGAAACTTAAATGGGTGGGGGAGGGCTTCTCCACAAGGGTAGGATCTGCTCTGCCCCTTTTGGGTTGGGGATGTCCAAGTTGACTCTGGGAGCTGCCTTTGACCATGGGGATTCTGGAACACATGAGTGAATCCGAGGGGACTGACTGCCCCCAGCAGGGTTGAAGAAGTTAGTTGGCAGCCACAGAAGAACTGCTGTAGGCGGTAAGTATGGAGAATGGTTTAGCAGTGCTTTTTAAACCCTTTTCATTCTGCGGCATGCTTGGAGCTTTGTGGCACAGTAAGAGGCATCACCAAAAGACTCATGAATTGAGTGAGCATGTGCCTGCTCATAACCAAGCCATGCTGACTTCTACTTGTGCTGGTCCTTTCACTCATCCTTGGCCAGCACATATGTGAATCTTCTGTAATCATGTTGGAGTGGGTTTTTTTGTTAGTGTTACAGTGGCCAGAAAACTTCTTTCACTAATGACATACCACTAGCATGCCTCAGCATGCTGATTGAAAAGCACTAGTTCAGAAGAAATGGGAAAAAGAAGCCAGATTTGACTAAATGATCTTTGCCCATATAAAATTGTCGCTAACATCTATACCAATATGCAGTATATTTTATTTTAGCTGACAAGTGACTGATGGTTTGAAAAAGTGTCACTGATTTAACCAGGGTAGCCTTGGTGTATATAGAGAGGTAGGGCCTTACCACCTGGCCACACCATATTTGCATTAGTAGGATTGGGGTAGAACCAAAGTACTAAATGCTGTCTTCTTCTGTGTTTGTATTCAGTGTACGTAAGTGATACAAAACAACAAGCACTAGTCTGGAGAAGCATTGACCGGGAATGACTCAGGAAATGATATAGAAGAGAGAAGGGACTCATGGTGTTATCTGATGCTGCCATCAGTATACACTGGGAGATTTATGTTATTTTGCAGCCATGCAGCAAAAGCCTCCTGTCTCTTTAATAACCTGTGTGAACCTTTTTATTTATTTAAATCAAATTACAAATAAAAGCAAAATAAAGACAGGTGTGTGAAGTTTCCGTGTTGTGGTGGTTTATCCAACAGCAAACTCACTAATTTTAAAAGGGTAACAAAAATAAATAAATAAAGGCCTTCAGCAGTAATTTGAGAGCAGACTTACAAGTATAGTGAATTTCAGTCTTGATTTCAAAAAATAGTTAAATGCCTAGTATGTATACCATGTTGTGCGAAAGCCTTAGCAAAGAGAGGGACTAGGGATTGATCCTGAGCCAAAAAAATGCAAAGTATGCTCTCTGCCAATAAGCTGAGTGACAAATTTGTACATCTGTATAACACTTTCCAGTTTACAAATCACTTTTATCCTTTTTATTTTTCTGATCTTAGAGCCTCACTAAAACTCTCAGGTGGTAGTTGAGATGGGTGATGATGACTCATATTTCTGTTACATTTCAAGGTTTACAAAGTACTTTTCTCATAAGGATCCTATGAGGTAGTGGTTCAAGCATTGTTATCTTCATTTTACAGATAAATAAACTGAGGTTCAGATGGGACTGTGACTTGCCCAGAATCACATGATAGCTGCTAAGAGCCAGTGCCTGGACTTTTGCCCCTATTTCCTAACTTCAGGTCCAGTGCTCCTTTCCCTCTTCACTTGTCAGATTAGGAGCTTTTAGAAGGTGACTTATTCAAGGTCATGCAGCTACTAAGTGGGGGAAAATGAAACTAGAAGGCTAGATCTTATGAATCTGAATCTTATTCTGTACTGTGATGCTGAAAGTAATTGGTGAATAAATAACATCAAAAAGACTGTTTCTTTCTGCCCTTGGCACCTTGGCTCAGTAAACATCCTCTTGCTCAGAAGTAGTTTTCAACTCACAATTTTTCTTTGAAGATGTTATTTTAGAGCAGAGTATTTTAGCCAGAGCCATAAAGTGCTTCAAGTGCCAGACCCAGATAAGACAATTAATAACCAAATCATAGTACACATAGACTTCGTATTGTACCCCACAGGCATCTTGAAACTATCCTGCTACCTGCACATTTTGGGCCACTGGGACCACAAAGCCAGTTACAATGCCTGTTTGGAAAGTTAGTGTAATTCACAACTAGTCGCCCAGGAAAACATTTATCAGTAAACACTTTACATTGTACATTGCACATGGAAGCTGAAACTCAAACTGACTCTTGATAATTCACAACAGGAGAGGTCAATGTTATTGTGATGACCAAAAGCAGAAAACAAATTGGAGACTCTCTAAGGAATATATATGAAATAATCTTCATTCACACCCATTTTGACAACTGTAAGAGCAAATGATGTGTTTGATTTTTTTAAAAAAAGTTTTGATAGATGCTGTGTACTAAGGCTTAGAAAAAAAAATTTTTTTTTTTTAATTTTAGGAGCCTGAATTCAAGGTAGATGGAAAATGAGTGTCTCAATTTCAGTTTTTAGAAGAATCTTTTTAATAATCCTGATTATCTCTGGGTATCTTACGATATAAAATCTGGAAGACTCAGGAGCCTCCCTGACTACTATACCACCTGATTGGTTTGAAGGTCTTGCTCCTGCTCCTCACAGCAGAGCGAATTGTTCATGTGAGGAGCAGAAAAGCATCCCTGACCCAGCTGAGAGGTAGAGAATACTCTATACCCATGAGAATTCCTCTGCCTCCTAACTTGAGTCAGGGCTCTGGTTGCATTTCTAGCACGATGATATGACCACCATTGGATGCTGAAATCTCCATTGAGAAAAGTGGGAATACTACCTGAAGAAGGAGGTCCTTATTGTTGAATACTTGCTATACTTTTGTTGGGAACCATAATCCTATGTGAATGAAAGTCTGTGGTAGCTGGGCCCAGTAACCCTACCTCAGAAAGCCTATCTACTTGTCTAGGTAGGGCCTCGTGAATTTTGGCCACTGGGTTGTCATTATAGATAATTGAGATGGTATTCCTTGTTCCCCAGAAAATATTCTTCTGTTTCCCATAAAGGCAGCATAGCACGGGCAGCTAGATGGCGCAGTGGATAGAGCACTGGCCCTGAAGTCAGGAGAACCTGAGTTCAAATGCGACCTCAGACCAAACACACACTTGACACTTACTAGCTGTGTGACCCTGGGCAAGTAAGTGACTTAACCCCAATTGCCTTTAAAAAAAAAAAAGACAGCATAGGAGCTTATCAGTAATCTGCAAACTCAGCTTTAAACTGGGATTTTGTAAGCAAAACTTCTGTATTATATAAAGGATTCCTGTTTGGGTACTGGTTAGATTAAGATAATCTCTGAAATCCCTTCCCACTCTGAAATTGTGACCTTTTCTCGAAGGTATGAATGAAGATTATTTCATATATATTCATTAGATATATATTCATTAGAGAGTCTCCTATTTGTTTTCTGCTTTTGGTCGCCACCATAACATTGACCTCTGTTGTCGTGAATTATCAAGAGTCAATTTGAGTTTCAGCTTCCACTTGAAATGTACAATGAAAAGTGTTTACTGATAACTGTTTTCCTGGGCAATGAGTTGTGAGTTATACTAACTTTCCAAATAGGCGTTGTAGTCAGCCTCATGGCCCCAGTGGCCCTTTGTTTCATGTGTCTTGTAGTGGGCTCAGTACTTAGTCATTATATCCCTCCTGTTGGATTCCATTGTCATCTGTGGCATGACTGACTTGTGGAAGAAACCATGCTACTGAAACCAGGTCAGATCAAGTGCTTTTGGTGTCATGATCTCAAAGTGATCTTGAGCCTACCTACTTTAGTCCTTAGCTTAATTTCACAGGTTAATGTCTACATTCACCCTGTTTGGATGTGCAGTGAAAAAGAGTCATTTCCTAGTGTGTAGATGCCTTAACTCTGTCTTTTTTTTTTTTTTTTTGCTTTTAGGCAATTGGGGTTAAAGGACTTGCCCAGGGTCACACAGCTAGTAAGTGTCAAGTGTTTGGTATGAGGCCACATTTGAACTCGGGTCCTCCTGACTTCAGGGCAGGTGCTCTATCCACTGCGCCACCTACCTGCCCCCTTAACTCTGTCTTCGTGATGGAAGCTGGTCATATTTGCCACCATACACTGTTATCCTGTCCTTTCAACTCTAGCTGCTAGAGAACACTAATCATGGTAGTGAAACTGCCCATTAAGTTAGGCTGACAGCTCCTGATGAGGGAAAAAAAAAATTGGAGTTTGTGGTCTCCTGCCATGAGACAACCTGCGCAAGCTGTGCTTGGAAATTCCTTCATTTCTTGCTGCCTCTAAAAATCTATTACTTTTTCTCTCTACTTGAACGATCAGCTCTCAGTATTTAAAATCAAGTCTATGTACAGTTGATGTCTTAAACTATTTGAAAATTGTATTCTTTTTCTTCCTTAAAGTGATAGTGCTTGCTTTGATGGTATGAGAGCAGTGGGAAGAGAGTTCGTGGAAAGGGAGAAAGAATGTGCACCAGAAGGTACCTTTCTGCCTCTCTAAATAGGCCTTCAGTACCTCCACCTCTGCAATTAATGCCATTCCTCTGGTGAAAGGGAATTAGGAATCGTTTCCTCCTTTCGCCCTCCCCTAAATGTCAAGGAAATAGAAGATCGAGGAAAGCTTGTATAAAATAGATTAAATACCACATTGTAAGTTGAGTAGGTTAAGGATCAGAGCACTAGTGTGGAAGTTTTAAAATGTGTTCTTCCATCTACCTCGGCCAACAGGCTGAGTCTTTAATGTTTCCTTCTCAGTAAAATGAAGATGCATACCTGTGTCTTGAGCTCTGTACTGTGTATTTCCCAGACTTTTAACACTAGGCAGTTCACATATGTGTAATGTGAGTTGGAGGTAGGATGGGTGTGCCTCATAGAGACTGTACTGAAGTTTGAAAGGTAGGCCAGGAAGTTTAATTTGGTATGAACAAACACTGGACAGCAAATGAATACTCCTCATATCAAGTTTATCTGTATGAAATTTTTCCTCACTGTGTGACTCCAGGCAAAGTCATTCAGATCTCTCTGAGCCTTCTTTCCTCATCTGCAAAATGGACACAAAAATAGTACCTACCTCGAGGTTCTTGTGAGAATCAAATGAGATCATAGATCCAGTATGTGTTATGGTAGTGATGCCTACTGTCAGTGATACTTTAAGGCTATTACATAATTATTTCCTCTCAACAGCTCTTTGTAGAGTAGGTAGTATAATTTTTATTTTCTTTGTCTTATAGATTAAGAACCTGAAATTCAGAGAGATAATGACATGCTCAAGATATCACATAGCTAATTTATTCAAAATCCAGGGCCTTTTCTATTATACTACATACTTAATAATTCTGTGTATTCTGTAGTGCAAATATTTATTATCTGCCTTTGACAGATGGAAAATGGTGCCTTACGGAGGAAGGAAAGCAATTTGCCCATAACTCATAAACTGACTTGGTCTTTATTTCTGACTCCCAAGTGCAGTGCTGTTTCTGCTACATAGTGCTGCTTCCCATAATATTATTTCTCTAAACTGAAACTCTACTGGCTTTTTGATATTTTTATGGCAGACTAGGATAAGTGTTTGAAGTGTTGTTGAGAATTGAGTCTGAACCACTTATCTTAAGCCTCCTTCTTTCCTTTTCCTTCCTTTTCATTCAGTAACTGCAGTTCTGCTTGGAATTGTCACTCTAAAAAATAGTTATTTTTTAGGGACTAGGGAAGAATGGAGCTGTCTGCTGTGCAGCATCAGGGTAGTGCAAGTGATAGCTCCCAGGGGTTTTGGTTCAGTTTCACTATTCAGTAAATGGGATTTTGGCAGGGCAGAGTAAGGTGATTGGTAACAACAGGAGGAAAACCTCTGGTTAGCACTTAGGTAAGATTGTACTTTACATTGGAGGCCCTCTCCCCATTCATTCTAGTTGCCCTAATCTCTAGGTTTGAATATAATCAAGCTGCTGGGTCTCCGGATCTTTTGTGGTCTGGTTCAGGTAGATTTTTGTAAACTTGAAAATCAAATCACTAAAATACTAGAACTGGAAAGGATCCTCAAGATCTCTAGTACAGAAGTCTTTAACCTTTTTTGAGGCATGGACTCCTCTGGCAGCCTAATGAAGCCTATGAACACTTTCTCAGAGCCATGTTTTTAAATGTATCAAATAAAATACATAGTGTTACAAAGGGTACTCAGTTATGTTACAATAAAGATGTCATTTTTTCCCATCCAAGTTCATGGACTCTCTGAAATCTATCCACAGATGCATTGAGGGGAGGTTTATGGGCCTCAGCGTTAAGAAGCCATGCTGTTATCACCTCATTTAATAGAAGGGAAAAGGGAAGCCCAGGGAAGGGGATTTGACTTGCCCAGAATTAAGCCGTCAGTCAGTGCCAAGACTGACCCTCCTGAGCCACAGTCCTCAGCTCTGCTCTTGCCACTACTATGCTATGTTATCATAGTCCTTTGGTTGATAGCACTCCCAGAAGTTGGTAACATGGCCTGGCAGGTACAACTAATGAAATAAGTCAACATACTACCTCTGTCTGAAAATGTATGTTTTGATCTATAACTCCAGTCATTCATTTTTTTACTGGGAGAAAGTAAGCGTGCTTCGCTCTCAGTTCTTGTCACTCCTTTGATGAGAGTTCTGAAGTCTTTCAGTATTGCTTCCCTTGACGTTGTTGTGTTTGTTTTTTTATAAATTGCTCTCCTGGTTCTGTTTACTTGGCTTTGCAACAGTTCATATAAGCCTTCTTAAATTTTCCTGAATTCTTTGTATTTGTAGTTTTCTTATGATGCAATAATATCCCATTAACATTAGTTTATCATAGTTTCTGCTTTCCTACCACAAAATAGTTTCTACTTTCCTACCACATCTGTTTTAGTGACTTGTTTCTCTTGACACTTTATGTGGCTAGCTAACATTCCTTGTTGAAGTAGGGTTATCTAAATGTATAAATATTAATAGTTACTTATCAAACAAAGGATTTTTTGGCTAATGGGATTTTGTTCCCAGACACTTAAAATTGATCGCAATGAAAAGAAAGAAGGAAAGAGAGAAAGAAAGAAAGAAAGAAAGAAAGAAAGAAAGAAAGAAAGAAAGAAAGAAAGAAAGAAAGAAAGAAAGAAAGAAAGAACTAGTGGGAGGAGGGCGATAGTTGCAATATTAAGAGAATGGAGAAGAAAAAACTATATCTTGCTCTTTGGTCATTGCTTTCAACAGGTGTACTAGACTAAATCTGGTTCTTAGCAGATGGGGAAATAAGACCATGAAACATTGGATTCCTGTATGTGGGATGTGGTCAGAAGCATGGGGTTTGGGGGCAAACTTCCTTGAGAATGGGTGACAGCAGGTGACCTACACATGTGGTACACCATGTCCAGATTTACAGACGAAGAACAAAAGTGTCATGTTAGCTGGCCACTTTGGGGGAAATCTTTACACAGTGTCAACACTGGTACTTGAACCTAGGCCTTCTCACTCCCAAGTCCTTGGTTCCCTCCACTGTCTTACTGACTTCTAGTGACCAAGAGACCTTACTGGCAGTTGTTGAGATGGTGGAACAAAGGAAAGTGTATTGGATGCAGTTGATTCTATTAATGGTTGATTTGTCAACACTGTCTTGATGCTGTCAAAAATAAATCACATATTGTCTTCAACTCTTTTCTAGGGGTTCCACGGCCCTTATCCTTTTGGACAGTCGTAAAACGGGTTTCATCGTGAAGAGAAATTTACAAAGAAGGATTGACTTTGGGTGGGGAGGGCAAGGGGTTCCTTTGGATTCCAGACAACACAATATGGACCTCTGGCTCTGACTCCACATCCTGGATGAAGAGGAATCTAAACAGACTAGTTTCAAGTAAACTCCGTATGCATGTGTGAATGCTGAATTGCGGGAATGCTGATTGAGGCTACAGAGAAGAAATCCTCACGGTCAAGCTGTGTTATGGGAAGGGGGGAGGGGCTTTTTTCTTTTTTTTTTTTTTAAGGTAACACAAGTAATTAGATTGCTTGGAAGGGGAAAAAGGTTTAGAAGTGGGAGAGAGAAAAAAAGCCATCTTTTTAAACAAAACTTATTTTGCCTATAGAGAGGCTGTTGTTTTGAGAAAATGTTAAGTTGTTTTTGATTTGTTTTCCCACCCCCCCTTCTCTCCCTGTTCTCCAACCTCATTTTTAAAAAACAAGGGGCAGCATGCGTGGTTTGGATTGGCTATTTTACTCCTTGCTCTGAGCAGGGGCAGATTGGAAAGCTCGAGTCAAGCGTGTGTTTTGGGAGTCTGTGTATCATTGCAGCGAGTGTTTTATGTGTTGTTTAATGTGAGGTCAGAGCAGGTGCTGACCTTGTGTTTTGAATGGCATCAGCCATTTACTTCTCCCCCTCCCCCCCTTTAATCTTCTTGATTTACCCTTTTGGCATTTGAATTAACCGACCTGTGGCTCTTTTTCACCAAAAAACCTCTCTGGAGACCACTTTCCCCATGTCTTCAACAGAGGAGGCCTCTGGAACAGGCCTCAGATGGTGGAGGTCTTTATTCATCTGAAGGTATCCCTGGCACACATGGGTGCACACGCACGCACGAGCACTCTGAAATCTGGAGCAAGAAACAAAATTGCTTTTCTTCTACATTTCTCTTATTATAGAGAAATGTTGTCCACAGGTGAAATTCTGTTTAGGGTCATGCATTGACTTTCAGTAACAGGGTATAGATTCCATGCCCTTACATTCTTCTCCCCCCCCCCAAAAAAAAAGCGTGTATGTTTCTTGGTGTAATTCATCAGCTAGTGTGTAGTGTGTAAGTTTTAAGGTGTCATGTATTTCTGTTTTCCTCCCCTGTATTTTCCCTCAAGTCCTACTTTGTGATGTGTTCACAGCCAGCCTGTGGAGGCTGAGCTGCTGCTGTCTGGAAATATTGAAACTAGAGCCGGAAGTGTAATCAGCCATAGGGGAGAGCCACATTCAGTCACTTCTCAGTTTTAGAGGCCACATTAGTCTGGAAACGAGAGATCTTCTGGGCAGGGTGCTTTGTAGAAGTGGCTGGGAACTAGGGTTAATGGGCAGGGGAGGGGGTGGGGTGGGGTGGGGTGCGGGAATTACAGCCAGAGCTGGAGCCCAGCTGCTGGCTGTACGTCTGTTTCAGGCTCAAATCACTGCACTGCCCTAGCTGCCTGTTGGCTCTGGGACGTGTAGGATATGGATATCCCAGTGGGAAGCTTGAACCAGGCTAGAACAGCTGTCTGCCAAAGATACAAGAATATGCAAAGTCCTCTTCCGGCCCCTTCTTCCTTACCCCCTCCAAACCCTCTTCCCCATTACCCTTCTCCCCAAACCACACTGAAAAGTCTTAGCAAATAACCAGGTCTGGAGGGTTGTGTTGTCTCTCAGTAAGTGGACCTGAAATGTAGTCGCAGTATTGTCTGCCCATTGCCACTGTCAGGGTGGCATTAAGCTTCCCAGACCAGATATGCAGCTGCAGGGGGTCCTGTAGCCTCGTCTTTGTGTGGTTGAGCGTATGTATGTGTAAGGTTTTGGTGTCTCTTGTTTGGATGATAGTTCTGAGAGTGTGGTCCTTCTCGTCCTCCTCTGATACTGGTGTTTTGTTTTTTTAAAAGAATGATTGTAAGAGAGGGGCGTGTGTGAGAGTGTGTGTATGTGTGTGTGTGTGTGTGTGCTATAATGGGAGGTTGGCCTTTTGCCTACTAGGGAAGCCCTGGGGAATGTTAGGAGCCAACTTGATCATAAGGGGGCAATTGTAGACCAGTATGGGATCGGGGGTAGTGTTTATACTGCAGTAATCATTTTCTATGCACAGGCTGAGTGCCTCATCCTCTTTGCAAAGGGGGAAAATGTGCTGGGTGACTGACTAGTAGGCCACGGAGCTGAGTTAAACCAGCAGAGTTCCAAGTTCTAAGAAGCAGATTGTGGCATTCTAGAGAGAGGCATAGATTTCTGCTTCTGCTACCATCTTCTGCCCTTTCAAACTTTTTGCAGGCTTAGGCTATATCCTGAGACCCAGGAATCTTCTGCTAGTTCCTTCCTCTTTTACTAGCCCAGAAAGTAGAAAATCAGTAGCCCCTCCCAGGGTACCCTTTGCTACATGATACTCAGGCCTAATTTGTATTTGAAAGAGTTCTCCCACCCACTGTAATAGCAATAGGGGGGGATCGGCTACAGATGCCATGGGCCTTCTTGAATCACAGGCCTGACCCCTTCCCTGCAGTTGGGTGATGATTCTTACCTGCACACACTGGAGTCAGCTTAAACTCCCTTCAAAATACAGACCAAGGAGTGAGTGCTGTCTGGGTCAACTGAAGCAGGGCATGGTCAGCAGCTCTCATGGTGTAACAAGGGCACCAGTCAGGTATGAGTTTTTAGCTGCTGACTTCCCTGTTTGTTTCCTTTTTTCTCCTTTGACTAACTGGTAGAATGCTCCCATTCTTTCTGTCCTTATTTTGGAAACATCTGTAAATGTCTGGACAGGGCAGCCTTCCCCATTGAGATAAGGAGGGAGACATTTTGCTGCCTTGTCTGCAGAATGGGAAATATTTCCCCTTTGGTGCTGACTCATGGTCTACCTTATTTAGGCCAATGGGGAGGAGCTAGGGGGCTCAGGGTGAGATCAGTATGTGTGGTATGTATGCATGCGTTCCTTTGGGGGAAGGAGGGATAAGAGTTTGGGAGCATTTTTCTAAAGTAGATTTGTGCTTCCTTCTGGGAGGAATGCTTCCAGCCTAGGAAAGAATCTGCCCTGACACAGTAGTATGGCCTAAGGTTAACTAGGAAGGGAAGGTAATGGGAACAGAAACTCCAGGACTTGGTCTTGTATCCTAGCTCCTAGAGTGTAGGGGTGCTGGGCCCACCTGGAAATGCACTTTGTTCCCTGCCTAGACTTTCCTTCCTTCTCTCTGGTCATTGGAGTGGGGTGGCATGACAGAGCAGGAGCAGCTCCAGGCTGCCCGCTCTTGTTAGGGTGGTGATGCATGTGTTGAGAGAGAGAGAGAGAGAGAGAGAGAGAGAGAGAGAGAGAGAGAGAGAGAGAGAGAGAGAGAAAGGTGGATGATGTGGTGGGGCCTCACAGTGCCTGGGAGGAGATGGTGAAGAGGCTTTTCATTACTGTATAAATGAATATTTGTATGATTAAATTAACGCAGAAAATCTACATCTAAACCTGGTGTGTTTCATTGAACTCGCTTATCAAGCTCTTCCACTGATCCTTTGGCGCCCCAGAAATTTCATTCACTCTGGTTGTTAACTCTGTGGTGTTTTGCAGTCTCCATTTTCTGGGTTCCCTGGGCTCTCCCAGCATCTAGAGTCTGGAGTCCAAGCAACCAAGGAGAACAATTAGTGTTTAGCACAGTCCAGAGATGATGACATGACTCCTTCCATAGCACTGCTCTAGCTTGTTTGTCCTACCTGTATGATTGACTGTTTGGTCTCCTGGATAGATCATCTGAGAGTGGGGAGAGATGGGAGGTGCCTAGCCACAAGAATGGTCAAGAGGATGATGGGAGCTTAAGTTCATTCATTTTTTCTTTCTTTTTTTAAAATTTTTAATTAATTTATTTTGAATTATCAACAATGACTTCCATAAGCTTTTAAGTTTTAAATTTTTTTCTTCCTCCCTCTCCAAGACGGCGTGCAATCTGATACAAGTTCATTCTTTCAAACACCAGTTGCTCTGGCTCCCTGCCTGATCCTTACGCCTATGGAATCTTTGAATCTATTTCCTCATTTTGTCCTTGAGCAGAGAAATAAAAGCTCAAGAGAAAACCAGGTCACACAGCTGGTGTTAGAATTATGGTTAAAACCCTACTCTCCTAGCTCCAAGACCAACACTGTTTATGGGCCTGCATTATTATTATCATTACTATTATTATCATTATTATTATTGTTATTAATATCCTAACCTCCTCATAGATCCCTGAATTTTTCTCTCAAGAAATAATATCTCTAGGTAATAATATAATAATATATGATATTTAGCTAGCATTTTAAAATTTACCAAGGGTTTTACATGCACATAATTTGTGCCTCCCTGTGACTGAGATAGATAATATAGTTATCCCTATATTACAGATAAAGAAACAGGCTAAGGTTACACACCAGTCAATCAACAGTAAGTATTAAGTGCCTATTCTTTGCCCAACACTTTGCTAGGCTCTGGGGAAAGAGATATTCCTTATTCACATGGAGTTTACCATTGTAATGGAGGAGACTGCATGTACATTAATATGTAAATATGTACAGCATAATATAACATGAATAAATACAAATCTACACATGAGATAGTTTGGGAGGGTTATGAAAGGCTTCTGTAGGAGATGGTCCTTGAGATACTGTCTTCAATGAAGAGAGGGACCCTGGAGGAGGAGGTAAATATGGAATGTATTCCAGAAATTTAGAACAGCCAGCTCAAAGCAGTAATAGAGGAGATGGAGGGTTTTGTGTGAGGAACAAAGAAAAAAGCCAGTTTGGCTGGTTCATAGAGTATAGAGGAGGAGGAGGAGGAGTGATGTCCACCGAGGCTGGAAAGATAGGTTGGGTCCAGATTTTGTAGGTCTCATTTAAAAGCTAAACAGAGGAATTTGTTTTAGAGGCAATAGGAAGCCATTGGCGTTTATTGAGTAAGGGGGTGGGGGAATGACATGGTCAGATATGCACTTAAGGAAAATTTCTTGGAAGTAGTGTGTAAGATAGACTGTAGTGATGAGAAAATTGGGGCAGGAGACCATTTGGGAGGCTTGTTGCAATAATCTAGGAGAGAGAGGATGAGAGACTGAACTGAGGTGGGAGCTGCTCGAGTTGAGTCTCGAGAGATGTTGTAAAGATGTAGAAACAGTGAGATTTGGCAGTTGGTTGGAGAAAGGCAACAAAGAAAGGTAAAAACATGATCCCTGTCCTCAAGGTGCTCACATTCTAATGGGGGACAAGATTTGGAAATTATGTCTCTTGTGTGTTACTGACCAACAGAGGTCTTGGGCTTCACTGTAGTACCTTTGGTCATAAGATTTAGAGCTGTACGGGGTCTGAGAGATGGTCATTTTATGCATGAATGAAAAAGCATTGGTTATTTACTATGTGTAAAGCCCTGTGCTAATAAGCTTTGAAGGTTCAAATAGAAAAGCAGAGGCAGTCCCTTTTCTGGAGGAGGCCACATTCTGATGGGAGGCAATACATATTGGATGTTTCAGCTATAAGTCAGATGGAAAGGTCTTGTGGTCCATAGGGTGCATCTGCAAAGCAGGTAATGAGGCATCTTCTTTAATGTAAAACACTGATAAGATGGTGTTTCTGGTGTTGGATCATTTGACAGTGCCAAGGACTTTGGTGTGAAGATCTTTTTTCTAAGCCTTCAAGGGGCTTCCTTGGATAATGGCTGTCAGTTGCTGGACCAGAAACAGGGCCAGTATCTTGGGGAGTACTGCCATTCCTGGTTCTCTTGGTCTTATCTGCCCACTGTGGTAGCTGACAAATGGTTGTTGGTAATGGTGTTGAGAAAGGTAACCGTCTCAGGGAATGCTCACGTCAATGTTTGTGGAGGCTAAGCATTCCAGTGGCGACTGCTCTTCCTGAGACTGTTGGGTTTCAGAGTCCTGGGTTAACTCCATTGGGGTCCGAGGAGAGGTGATGGTTTGACCCTCCTGGTATGTTGCTTTGTGACTCGCTTTTGTTATGCTAGGCCAGCTCACCCCCCTCATAGGTGGCAGATAATATAAATGGTTGGGCCCTTGTCCACAGTAGTTATGGGAAAAAAAGTTCTAGAGAAGGGAAATCACCCAATCACATTTATAATAAGTACTAGAGCCAGAGTTCATATCCAAGTCTCTTTCTAATTGGTGATCTTTTCCCCCTGTGCCCCTTGCAACCCAGCTTATCACAGAGTGAATAGTTGTGTATTATAGAGAGTGGAATTTTCTGGCATTGAAAACATGTATATTTCTGAAGAGGAATATCTGGGTCTTCGGTTGCATTTCCTGCCTACTCTTAGTCCCCACTCTGCCAGGATGAGTAGGCCCTGAGATCTAGAGATGTTCTTAGAAAATTCGACAGGGGAAGCTGGGCCTCATGAGCCAGTGTAATGGGATGAGGGGTTACACAGAAGGGAAAACACTTGGCTGAAGTTACACAGCAAGGTAGTGCTCAAATTGGGGCCTAAACCTAAGGTTCTAGGTCTGTTGGTCAGATCAGAGATGCCAGTCTCTGGCGTCCATCAGATAGGGCCCAGCCCCAGGAACAGCTGGGGTGGGGTGGCTGGAGAATGGGATTACAGAACATTACAGCTGCATGGATGTTACAAAGACTTTAGAGGCCAACATTTTGGACATAGATTGTTACTGATAACTTTTTTTTTTACATTGCCTTCATTTCCCCCGTTTCTTTCTCTCCCAGAGAGCTATCCCTTAAAACAAAGACTTTTTTAAAAAAGAAAACAAAAAAGAGGGAGGCAAAAACAACCCCCTCATTGTTATGGAGAAAGAAATTTAGGACTAAAGAGAGAAACAGACTTGCCCAGGATCACATAGGGTAGTAAGTAGCAGAGCAGGAATTTGAACCCAGGTCCTCTGACTACAAAAAGAGAAACACTTCCCTCCAGACTGGAGTTCTTCTGGATTGAGTAAGTGGTTACTACCCATATTCCTTACCCCACCCGTATTCTATGGCACAGGCCATGAACCCATATCCTGCTTCAAGTGCCTGTAGCTGTTTGTTCTGGTAGGGAAATGCAGCCCCTCCACCCCGTCCCACCACCTGACTTCTTTCTCTCAGGACTGCCCCTCTTTGCTACTCACTGTCGTATACATACCCACACCTCTGTCACTGAGCAGCTAAATACTTGACAGAATCTGTTTGTCTTTGGGGCTGTAACCTGTCACAAATCCACTGAGCTCAGGGAGAGTGGAGCAGATCAGATGGCACCTCCTCGCCCAGCTCATTCCCACGGGGGCTTTGTGACACAGGTGAGGGCTGTCAGCCATAGTTCTGTGAATGTGTGCGTTGGGGGGTGAGGGGGAGTAGGGAGCAGCTTGCCAGGGCCTAGCCCTCCTGGCAAAACAAATG